TTTTATAGATGAGGCGACTAAGGACAGAGAGATCAAGTAACTTGTTTCAAGGGAAGCAGAGGATTACTGGATCAGGATTGGAACTCAGGGTTCAATCTGGTTTTTCCAGTAGATTTGATCCCTGTTTACATTAAATTCGCCTGTGAGTTGTAATTATTACAGTAACTTTTCTAGATAATTTTAAATGTTAGAACACCCTTAAGCAAAGAACAATGAACTAGGCAGATGTTTCTGATATATGTCTTTGCTGTCAAACAATACCTATTGCCAGAACTTACTCCTGTCATCACTGAAGACTCAGCATTTGGTTTCTGAAGGTTAGAATTTTATCCCAAAATACAGAAATATTTATTATAAAGCTATGTCAGGGAAATGATATTATCAAAAGGGGAAATCTTTGGTCTTAAATCTCCAGGTTGACCTTCATGAATGATTGTGTTCATTTAAAGAAAAAAAAATGAAGCATTAAAAATAATATTATTATTTATGTCACTTTAGGATAAGTTAAAGAAACCAACTAAAAAGTGTTGCCTCAATTCATTCACGCATACAGGTAACTTACAAGGTGTCAAGAGGAGACATCTGTCTATCAGACTGTACCTTAGAAATATTCTGGGATCCATATCATATTGATATTATCCTTTAGGTCGATAATTACAATTGAACATTGGATGATCTTTTTCAAAAACTCCTTAAAGTTGTACTAACCTGAATAATAATTATCTCTATACTTGCAAAGAGATATTCCAGACAAAATGCTCTTGAAAACGTAGCATTTCAAAAATGTTAAATATGACTCTTCCCCAAAATCAGTTACACTGGGATTTTTAAAAATGTATCACTTAAGAAAATAAGTGTATTTGAGTTTTCAAAACTGTAAGTAACTCACTGATTAAAGAAGAATTAAAGTAGATTTTGTCTGGGATTGCTTAATTCAATTACTATGTTTGGCATAGTGAGAAATGATAATAGCTCTTTAAAGGAATTATCTCTCCTTTGACATTTCTTGCCAACTCTAGGTACCTCTAAGCTTATCTTGAAAAATTAAATTAATG